GAGCAGTCATGTCCTCACTTTACACACAGATGAAATTAATGGTTGCCAGGGATATCAGGGAAATAGAATCCTTTAAGAGAGAACCATGATGGCTCCTTGTCATAGATGTGTACATCATGATAGAGATCACAAATGCACATATGGTACATATAAATTCACAGAACTAGATAAAGACACATAAGTACATGCATGTAAATATGGAAAAGCCATGGAAGGTTGGGGACCAATCTCCATCTCCCTGATATTGAACTGATCCTGAAAGTCATTAATATGAGGGAGAATTTGGAGAGGGCATGGACGATCTCTAGGTATGAGTTCTGACAGCTGCATACCAATCTTGGTATCAACATAAAATTGTAAAGATGATTTGGTTGTAGCATGATAGTAGCTAAGGACAAGTAAGACAACAAAATGCACAGGATGACTAGCTTTGTACTACAGATGAGGGGTCAATGCTTAACCGTGTGTCTTCTGAATTGACTGTCAGGAACATACTTTCTGTTGCAATCTTGAAGGACTTGGTCAGGCACAAGGTGAAGTTTAAATGGATCAAGAGAACATCACTTGGGTCAAGAGAACATCACTTGGGTATGCAGGAGACACATCCCCTTTCCCGGATGCCCATGGCCTGTTCCTTGGCTGTGTTTCTTTAATAGACCAGAGAGTAAGTTCTGGTGGAATGGTGTGATGTCATCAGTGCCTTCAGAATGTTGGCGTTCACTTAGCTACCAACAGTGCTCTCCTCAGAGCTTGTGAGGCTGAGCTCTGGGTAAGCTCAGAGAAAGCCTTCAGGGCCTAGATCTTGAGAGAGCGGAGCAGCTGCTCACACGGGTGAGTGTCACCCAATGCCATGCTAGACTGAATGTCAGGGCTCGACTACGTTCCTTCAGAGAGTCTTGGAGGTGTCCGAGATCCCCTGGGAGTCCCCAGAAGGACAACTGGTGATATGATGGGGATGGAAACAGGTTTTTGAGAAGGGAAACAGCACAGGAAGTAGTGGGAATGAAGGGAAGAAAAGTGAAGACAGGGAGGCTGCTGAAGAGGAGTCTTGTCACCCAATGACTGTCCTTGAGAGGGAGCCATGAGGAAGACGACGTGGGCCACATGGCTGCATGTTTAGGGGGAGTTAACAGCCTGTGAATTTACAGAGGTTCATAGAGATACGGAAAGAGGTGACGACAGAGAACATAGGTGTGTGAAGTCATCCAGCTGACCCCACGGGAAGCATGACTGATGCCAGGAGGAGCTAGTCTTCCCAGTGGCACACCCACAGTAGCCTACCCACAGCCAAAGGACACACCCTAGGCAAGTCCAGAAATCACCCTCTCAAGTGTAAAGCAGATGAATTATAGTCTTCACTTGCAGATTACAAGACTACAGTGGGGTCTCCTTTATGCACTGATTAAGTTCTAATTTCATAACAAATCAAGAATGACAGGGTATAGCTCCATGGTAGAGCACTTCCCCAGAATGCCTGAAGCCCCAAGTTTAAGTCCCATCACCACAAAAGAAAAATCTTCCAGCTACCGTTAACTATGGAACCACTGTTGCAACTTTTATGACTATTTTGTTTTAGGAAAAGGAGGTTACAGGGCAACAGCCTGGGATTGGAATCAGTCTGAGTCCTTCCTTGGTTTGCAAACCAAGAAGACGACAGGATTCCTTAATGTCTGCACCGGTTCCCTCAGACACAAGACCAAGGCTTCAGAACCCAACGAAAGGTCAAAAGAAAAAAGTACTGGTGACAGCCAAGGCAGGTGTGTATGACCCTTGGTGCTTTCCCCCTGGTCCCCAGACGAGAGAAGGGTGACAGCAAGGCCACTGCCCCAGTCCCACCTTCCCCAACCACTCTGAGCCAACTTCTACAGGGGTATGGCAGGGGTGTCCTGGTGAGTCACACCCCTTTGTATTTATACCCACCACAGAAAGAAGACCAGAGATGTCAACTGTCTCCCCAAAGGTGCCCTGCAAGCAGAATGATTCAGGGAACGAAGTGCCAGATGATAGTGTTTGCTTGGCAAAAAAAGGTACATGGGAGGTCAATTCTAAGCTACCTTTGTAGATATGTGCATGTGGGCATTCCTTGGATATCTTCAGACGTTACATGCAGACCCCTCAATGTGTGTGAGAAGGGAAGAGCCAGCACTGGCCAAGCATGTCCCTCTTGTGCTCATGTCGGTGTCTCTCCTCCTGCAGTTCCACAGGCCAGCAGCGTTTGGGCTTCCAGTGATGCTTCTGCAGGGGATGTCCCTGAGCAGAGATCCAAGAGGAAGAGGGCACCGAGAAAAAGGAAACCGGAGAATGTCATCACTGGTATGTGTGTGCATGCCCCTTGACATTCATGTCCCAGTGTGAGTGAAACAGCATGGCCACTATGCCTAGTCCCTCCCTCTTCCCAAACTGTCCTAAACCAGCATCTACAGGACCATGGAAAGGGGTGTCCTGGTGAGCCAGGAAATCCCTTCCTTGTTCACTTTTGTAGCTCTATCAGATAGAAGATCTACAAGTTCATTTGTCTCCATGCTGGTGTCCTGCAGGCAGAATGATCCAAGGGTAAAGGCACCAGATATGAGCTGGTGCTTGGCCAAGAACAATACATAGTACCTCAGTTTCTAGTCTCCTTTGTGGATGAGTGAAGCTCATTCCTCCCAGATGTCTTCAGATGTCGCACGGAATCATCAGAAGGGAAGAACACAGCCATGTCCAGGTTGTCCCTGTGAGGTGGTCATGTGGGGTCTTCTCTTCCTGCAGATCCAGGGGCCTGCACCATTCTTGCCTCCAGCAATGCCTCTGCTGGGGATGTCCCCGAGCAGCCAACCAAAAGGAAGAGAGGCCAGAAGACAAAGACACTGACTGATGTCAAAGCAGGTATGTGTCCCATCATCCTTGGACATTGTCGTCTCTGTATGAAGAGCCAATTGCACCCGAGTGACTACTTGTTCCTCTGTCTACATGAAGTGATAAATTCCTGAGTAGTGGTCAGGAAGTTGCCAGAGTCCCCTTGTGGCCACATCCATGATGACTGAGAAGCTTTTGTTCCCACAGCTACCCAGGAGAGCAGCCTGCGGGCCTCAGGCCCAGCCACCTCTGAAGCTACCCCTGAAGCTGCCCCAGAGCTGAAGATCTCCAGGAGGAGGACGAAGAGGAGCATATGGACTGTAGACCGGATCGAGGGGACAAAACTCGTAATAAACAAGAAGAGAAGACTCAGTTACCAACCTGAGGACCTTGAAGCCTTCTACCGACTTCTGGGTGGGTTCCCTGAACTGAGGACTGGACGCTTAGGGCCAATTTTCAAAATTGAGAATTAGGTACAGGGAGCAGTGGTTCCAATTTCCCCACAGTGATCCTGGGCCACCTGGTTATGTGGAGGTGTCTCCTCTCTTGACAAGTCCTTGGAGAGAAGGAATCAGGCTCACACATGTATATGGAAGTAATGGTGCTTCTCTACTCACAGACCGACCCCACCACTAAGATGGTAGAGGACGGGGATCGGCAAATGCCACTGGCCCCTGCTTTGGGGATGCACTAGCAGGAAGACCCAAAAACAAAAAGAACCAAACATTTACAAAATGGAGATGCTATCAGCTCTCCATAGCTTCACAGGAAAGGTTCAGAAGGCCATGGCACCTAGGGGTAGGACAGGAAGAGACAGTAGAGCTCTATGAAACCAGTGAGGCACCAAAGGTCTCTCTGAGGTGATATCGGGCCATAGATCTGGGACCAAATGCGGCAGGTTGGGAACAACACCCAGGCAAACCACCCAATACAACATGCACCAGTCACAGACAATGATTTACTCTGTTTTCAGTGAATTAAACAGACCATACACATTCAGTTCCTCGGTCTCCTCAGCCATGATTCCAGCGTTCATTGGATGACAGGAACAAATTATGTCCTTCTTCATCTCAACTCAGGGGGAGAAGTCTGGAGGCCACACACTGCTCACAAAGCTTCACCCACAATCACACACTTGACCCACCAGATGGGAACTCCAAGTTCATCTCATGCTTGCTCTCTTTGCAGAGGATCCTGTGATCCAGAACTTCTTGGCAGCTGACATTTTCTTCAGGGTGACTGACAAGGTACCTATAACCTAAATAGTCTACAGTCACAGCCCTCGGGGGATCGCAGAAAAAGATGGTCTGGGAGCCCAGGATAGCCCAGGGCTGCTCTCAAGAACAGAAGCAGGAGAGACGTGCTGCCCATCCCTAGTATATCCCCCAAATTCCTTTCAGGTTTTATAATCAGCTCACATTCACCAGAGCAAATGTATTCCAGCCCCCATTCTGTGTATCATTGGAGTAGAATGATCGGATGCAGAAGGTCCAGGTCCCACTGAGATTGCTTGCCCCCTTGTCTACCACCTGCCTTCCCTCACCAGCCCTCTGTCCACACAGTACCTGCTGTCCATGGTGGTGGAGTACTTTGGACGACTTGGGCTGCCTGGACATCTCTACAACAGGATCCACTTCTTCCTGGCCCTGTGAGCATCTCCTGGGGACCAGTCTGTCCAAACCCCATTCCTAAAGCTTCCATCATGCCACTGGGACTGAGTGGTGACCCTCAGCCACAGAATCGTTGACACTTTCAAGGGACCAGGAGGGGAGAGAAGAGGGTCCTGACATCATGACAGTAGTTAAGAAGAAAGGGAAGTTTCCTTTTCCTGGGAAGTGAATGGGTCCTGCGGGCTTTGTATCAAGGATGCCCTGGGGATGATCTAGACCAAGGTCACCCTACACAGCCTGCTTCCCCACTTTATCTCTAGAGCGACATGCTCCCACCTGCATCTGGCTGTCACAGTTAGGGACATGCACTTCTCCCTCCCTATGGCAGGTACATCGCCTGTGACATGGAAGAGGATGACCCCATATCCAAGAGGAGCATCTTTCAATTCTTGCTGGGCAGAGACACATGGCAAGACTTGTACAAGGACTTCCAAAGGCTACAGAAGGAGTTCCTCCAAGTCATAGATTATCAAGCCTGGGTCACACGACAGGAGTGTGAAGAGGTCTGCCAGGGTTCAGCCAGGGGAGTGGGTGGACAGGGTTCAAGCAGGGGAGTGGGTGGACAGGGTTCAGGCAGGGGAGTGGGTGGACAGGGTTCAAGCAGGGGAGTGGGTGGATGGGGTTCAACCAGGGGAGTGGGTGGACAGGGTTCAGCCAGGGGAGTGGGTGGACAGGGTTCAAGCAGGGGAGTGGGAAGATGGGGTTCAGGCAGGGGAGTGGGTGGACAGGGTCCTGGCCAGAGAAGAACAAGGGTGGGCCCATTTCCTGGACTCACCTCTCCTCTCCCTTCCAGATCCAGAACCAGAACCCACACCACTGGGTCTGGAGCCGGGTGCGCCACAGCGCCCCTTAGCTCCCCAGGCTTGGGACACCATCAGCAGGGTCGTGGAGCATGGGGCTGCACATGAGCCAGGTGAGTGGAGGGCCTGGTCAGGGGCTCCACATGCATGGGCTAGCTCTGTCCTCTGAGTCCCTGAAGCTGTATTCTGGGCTGTGTAGACATGGGAGGAAGCTCTTCTGTCTCCTAATTGGAGTTTCCTCTTAGATGGGAGCATATGGGCATATGAGCACTGTTGAGGCACAGGAAGTGTTTAAATCCCAATTCTCCAACTGGATTGCATCACAGGACCATACAATCCATGACA